CAATGGCAAGTAAAGGAAATATCCCCAGCGAGGTACTCTTCCAGGGACACAGGTCTAGTGCAAAAGAACTCTTGAGAACGGCACTTAAGTTCAGCCAGTCTTAAAAAGCTGTGCTGTACTTCTGCAAAGCTTTAACTACAGTAGTTTTAAGGATGCCAACGAGAGCTGAGGGTGTAGAGCAAAATAGTTCTAAGCTTCAGTTAAACTTCTTTAGGTAAGATCTTATTTACTTTTCCTTTTTTAATATTCCAAAAACAAGAAACTAATACTATATGACAGTGTACTGTTTCAGTATAGTGGTTATATTATCTAGTTTAACATAGCAATGAACCAAGTTAACAATTGTTATTGGAAAATTAAGAATTCTGTTTTGATTTGGGGGTTTGGGTATTTATTCTGTTGTTTTCCTTTGTTTTGTTTTGTTTTTGCTATTATGTTTTGATTTATTTTTAACTGCAGCTGCTTAACCTATCTTTTCCCCTACTGGAATCTAGCTTTATGCACCATGGACAAGCAATAGACCTGCTGAGCAAATGAACCAGCCAAGGGTCCATTAATGATTTGCAAGGGTTCCATCCCTGCTATGGGTAGTTAAAATGGTATGTTGCAGCTTTTTTAAATGGTACAATAACTTGTTTTTACCCATTTTTATTTGCTAAAACCTAAAGCCTAAAATGGTGGCTCTTCAAAATAGGGCAATTGGGTATCTATTGTTCAATGCAACTATTATAGTATTATAGAACTTGTGTTTGGGCCATATGTGTGAAAGTGAAGTTTATGCAGAACTTTACATACAGAATTTTTTCCCTCACTAGTCTTGTCGGCACTGTGTAGCAATATGAATTTATTGAACTGAAGTAGAATGTGATTTTCTAATTCAGCTAGGTTGCAAACGTGTTTTATTGCATATATGCTAACAGTGCACTTAATGTGAAATTATTCTGTTATTGAATGTTTGCAGTAGTTACCTTCAGTATGGTGGACATGGAATCTTTTTACTTAGAGGAATATTCTGTTTAATATAAATAAGATTATAATTCCAGAATCTGTCAGTTTTTAAACATTTTTATATTACGCTTTAAAAGTTCTATGTTGCTTTATACAACTTTCACACTAAAAGCCTGGCCTTGCCTCATCTGTTTTCTAGCCATTTGCTGAAATTTTCCTGTGATACAAAGAGGCATCTGTGATAAACCTCTTCAGATACTTTCTTTTTCTTTGGCAGGAAGGTGCCAGGCTGCAGGTAACTAATGAAGAAGTGCTCAACCACTGAAACTTCAAGAAATAAGATATTTCTTGTCTCATCACAAAATAGTTGGTTTTGCTGATTTTATTAAAACCTTTATAGATGATGATTTCTGTTGCAGCCTATTGTAATGATTTTAAAAGCTATATAAAATTAAAGGTATACTTGTTCTAGAATTCAGACTGGACAGGAAGTCAAGACTAATGTGAATATTAACTGATTTTTATAAGTGTTATAATAAACTTTTGTTTAAAAAATATTCCTAGTCTGATACCATCTTAACACTTTATGCACATCCCAAATGATAAAACACAGTTCTTCAATGGAGTGTGAGTTGTACAGCACTACATACTTGTTGGTGTCCTTGAATGTGCAAATGATTAATGGCTGTAAGACATGAAAAATAACCCAAAATACATACTATAACCTAGGTGTAGATTAATGAAGAATCAGCTGGGGAAATAATTCTACAAAAGTTGAACATATGTCCCTCAGCATCTTACTGCAGATACCACTCCTGTCTTACATCTAAAAAGCATTGCCTATAATCCTAGAGAAAGGCAACAATATTCTGAAAAATTGCTTGGTTCAGTGAAAATTGTTAATAAACTAGGCAAGAATCTAGTTATGACAATTAGCTGTGCAAACTGGTTGCTGATTTTATTTGTATACATGTGCCCTTATGTTTGAATAACTTTAAACAATAGCAACTGCAAAGCTTACCAACATAGGTATAAATGCATGGAATGATTATTAAGGGAATATTTATCTTACATAATACTCCGTTATGTTCCCCATCTCTTCAAGAACAAAAGTTAAAGTGCATTTAAAGCAGAATAAAGAGTCTTTACTTAGCGTTGTAGAAGCTAATATTGCTGCTAATTTCTTCAATACATTTTGGGTATGGATTCTTATCAATAGGAAAAATTGGTGGAATATAGTTAACTTGGTCTTTGTTGGTAATCTGGAATATGCCCATCGTGTACCCTAATTTCTCTGTGGCATACTTTATGAAGGGCATCGAAATGGATATATTAATGTTCAAAGTAGAAGGCTGATAATATGGTTTGATAAGGATTTCTGCAATGAAAAGATAGAGTGAGAATCAAAGTACATCTATAGTTACTGGGGGGAAACTTAAACCAAATATGAGAAAACTGACATTTAGCTTATTGAAGTGCTATGCCCAGTTCATGTAGATACAGAAATGAGTTGTATAGAACTCTGTATGTTATTCCTATATAGATACTGTAAATATTTTCCCAAGCACAGCAATATTCCAGGAATCTTCAGTACATTGTACAGAATGCATGCAAAATCAGTGTTTTGTACTGGAGAGAGATTTATATAAAAGTTATCTTTCCCAGCCATTGTTTTCTCTTTCAAACAGCAAAGTTTATCTAAAGTAGGTATTAGAAATGCTATAGCCATGTAGTTTTTACATGGTTATCATTGGGCTTTTTTTTTTTTTTAAAGTAGAGATGTGTAAATTGTTCTTTTTAAAATAGTGATCCCTCCCCCCCACAAACTTGGACGGAAATCTGTTTGCATGCAACTTTTTCAGATTTTCTAGTTAAGCCGGTATAGCCTAGGTAAAGTGACATATTAAATGCTTAGTTTAGTGTTGAAAAACTATTACAAATTATAATCTCTGTTGCTTTTGAAGTCAGGAGAATTGCTTGCTGCTACATGACTATCTTAATTACTGCCAGGCAGTAGTATAGGGAACCTACAGAAGTTTGAACTCAGAAAATTTTGCATATTTTAAGTTAAAAGAAAGGGGGGTAGGTATCCTGATTCATGCATTACATTAATACACTGGCATGTATTAATGCCAGTGAGGTAAATTCTAGCCTTTGTTCCTTTGGATTAACATAAGGTGTTTAAATGTAGGTTTATAGAGCTTAGGGAAATTGCTGTTTTAATGGTAATGAAAGAAAAAAGCAAGTATCTTTATTTGTACCTGTAAAACAGGTGCACAAGTCCAGCAAAGATACATACCAGTTGGTTTTCTTGGGCTTTTGCTGTGAGATGGGCTAAAAAAAATTGCTTAAACTTAGGTGGATGGTTTGGTGATTTGTACTGACACCTATTTGCCTCCTAACCTCCTGGAGAATTTGCCCAGAAAATAAACCAAATACTGCATATCTTTGTAGCTCTTGAGTAAAACTGGCATGTTTGAAATTCTTACTGTTTTATGTAGATACAATCTTGAAGCCATTTTTAGTTCTCTTCTGCAGCATGCAGTCACCTTAAAACATTTCAGTAAGAGCTTTCTTTCTGATCTTGAAACAAAGCGCATTTCCATTTTGTATATACTTGTTTGGTATTTATCTGTTTTGACCACAGAAGTTTTCTTACTTGATAGCTATTCCTGCAGGATACCTAAACATAAAACTGCATATTGGTTCTTGACAGGGACGTGCTACTCAAGTATACTGCTACAATAGCTTACCAAGTGTTTGGCTTTCTTATTTGAAAGAAGACACATACTGTAGTGAAACTACCTTGATACAATTAGCACATTTTATGTTAGGTGCATATTACCTTGCAGACTCATGCATTTTAATTTTTAATAGTAATGAAATAGGGATTTAAGGTTGCCATTAAAAGAACAGTGGTTCAATGGGCAATACATTTTAAAGTATATTTACACAGGACTATCTCACTGGAACTGTAAGAACCAAAACAATAGTAACAGTAACAACGGTAAGTTGGTATAAGTGGTTATTGTATAAATATGTATAAAAGCTTGATTTTAATAAGTTCTGTAAACGAAAGGGAGTTCTGTGCCATGTCGTGCAGCTTATTCAATATATAAATCTGCATTTCAGTGCATGTAGGTCAGTGCTCAGATAACTAACTGGGGTAGGATTGTGTTGACATCAAGAACTTCATTTAAAATATAATGCTACTAAATATACAAAGTCTGGGAAAGTAAGACAGTATCTGTAGTGTGTACACTTCATTATAATATTGCTTCAATATTCATCAGTATCCAATATTAGTCCTTGGGTTACCACAGCAATTGGGACTGGAATTTCCATCACTACACGATGCAGTCATTAAGTGCAACGTGACCATTTTGCTTAGCAACAGCAGTCCTAGTTGCCATTGTAATCTGAGGGCTCTGCAGGTGGTTTAGTGAGGGCCTTGTGTGACTCATGTAGGAAGAGGTCCAGGCAAGCAGGCCGGAGGTGAAAACAGGCAAGTGCTACCGAGTATCAGCAGGCGAAGAAGTGGTGGGAGCAACTTGTGACTTGCCAGCTTCCCCGTTGACTAGTGGGAAGCTGGCAGGGAAGGTCGCAAATGGCAATCGTGACTGTACAACACTGCAACCACAGTAATTGTGAAATAGATGCTGCAACGGCCACCACTTTGAGGACCAGTTGTAAATCCCCCTTGTTTAATGCCTTCATAACATTGGTCACTGAATGATTTGTAACCTGAGGACTAGCTGTAGGTTAAAAGTAGAGCTCCACACACCAAACATGGGAGGAAAAGTTTTAGCCTGCAAGCTGGCTGCTTTAATAGATAGCAGAAAGCTACTTTGGCTCCTACGAAGTACAAAGGATGAGTCATTGTAGAAGTATGAACATCCCTATAAAAAGTTTGTCAAAACCTATTTAAGTGGAAGTAATAATGGGATGAAAATGTATGAGTACTGTACAATGGAAATGGGTACCCTCAATTTCAAAATCCATTTGCAAGCTTAAATATGCATCTCTGGCAAAAGGGATATTTGCTGGTAACTCTTTAAGGGGAGGGGGAAAATAAAGCAAATGTCAGAAAGAATGGGGACCTAGCCACTTATTTCAGCCCCATCCACCAATGGCAAGTGAAGTGGCACTGCATGGATCACTTAGGAACATGACTATATGAATCACTGCCTACTCCAATGTACTTCAGAAGCAATGATGTTTCTGCTGTGCTACTTTCAAAACTCACCTAACTTTACTGAAATTGCAACTGACAGGATTTTCTGTGGTCTAGTAGTTTAGCATATGCACCCATGCTTAAGCTGAATAAATTATGCATAACAAATGTAAAATGAAGTTTAGTCCACTTTAAAGTTGCTTGGGTTGGAATTCTTTGAAATGGTGTACAAGGTAGCCAAGGAGCGCAGTTCACATTTCTTCTGGCGTGCCTGCAAATGCAGTCCTTAAAAACCCTTTCCCTTAATAAAATAATCTAAAATGTTTGTCATTTTAGTTGTTTCAGTGTTTGGGCTCCAGATTGACTTCTTTTTCAGGTAAAATGAATATAGTACCATCTCCACAACATTGAAGGACATATTGGCTTGGATTAACTGTTGTTCCTTGGTCATCTCTCAATTTACTGAAAAAGTACCAGCAAAGATCATTTAGTTTTTGTTTTATATTGCTAATTGACCTTTTGTATCGCGCCTTCTGTTTCTTAAGCCTTTCCATCTGCATTTGAAGATGACACACTTCATCCTTCAGGTTCATAATTGCATCTAGTTTGCGTTTGCGGCAGTTTTGCGCAGCAACTTTATTTTTTCCTCTCCGTCTTATGTCACGAATGAGTGACAATTGATTATCTGTTAGGTAGTAGTTTGACAACATGCTATTAAAAGAATCTACAGGTAAAGTCACTATATCATTAACAGAGAATGGAATTCTCAGAGCTTTTGCCCGGTATTCATCATCTAGATTTGTATCTCTTTCAATTTCAGTTCTTTTGGATTCTTCTGGCCATCTGAAATAATCCTGTGACACTGACAATGTCAACTGTTGCGTATTCTGATTGTATGTGTGATCATGGAATACACCTACTAGTGATTCTGTGCCATAGTCATAACTGCTTTGATATTCTGTATGGCAGTATTTGCTATGTTCTAGGCAATTATCTCCTGTAACTCCTGAGTTATCAGAGGCACCAAATTTGGCATCCTTGTTATAGGTAAAAACAAAGGATGAATTACTATAGTTTAGATTTAAAGAAGGTCCAGAATCTGAATCTTGTTCTTCAAAAACACAAGTTTCTGCAGAGTCAAAATTTTCTTCCATGGTTAATGATGTGAAATTTATTTCTTCAAATCCACTTTCATTCAGGCTGAAAAAAAAATCTTGATTTGTAAGGTTTCTGCAGCAATTATCATATGCAAATAACTCCAACATGTTGGTCCCATTAGTTGGAAATGTGTTTAAGTCAGGCAAAATCTCCAGTCTCTCCAAATTCTTCCTCTCTGCATTTGTTACATTAGGGTGGTCTGATCCCATCACTGTGGCATCATGAAGGCTCACATCGTGGTTAATCGCTTGGGCCAAATCTATAGGGTTCTGAAAGTTTGTCAAATTCACACCTCCACTGTTGCTCACATGTTCCTGAAAGGGTGCAAAGCAAAAAAAAAAGTTTCTGTGTGTGTTAAAGGTAAATCCTGCAACTCATTTGAACATACTACCAGGCTAAATGCAGAATCTCAAAGGTGTTCTTTTAGAAGATCCAGCTATAGTTATTTCCAGAAGGCTCCCCAAAGTGTCTCATCCCGTCTTTGCTACACAACTTCAAATAACGAATGCAGTACCAGCAGTCAAAATCACAAAAAACTGTACAAAACAATATCTTAAAATATTGTTTTGTACAATTCAACGTATCTTAACAGCATTTTTTTCTGCTGTCATCTTGATGACAAACTCAGATGTCTGCCCTATACTTGTCATGCTGAAATTGGTCAATATTAGGGACTGCATTAAGGCCAGTATTCAGCATAGACAACTTTTCAGCTCTGGCTTTTATAAATTAATGAAGACTGATTTATAATTCAAAAAATCTTTGATTAGAATGAAGTAAAAAAGTAGACTGCAATAACATTTGACTTAAAAGGGTTTAAACAATATGCACCACTGCACCTTCTATCCTCTGGTAAAAACATTGGCAAATATGTGGGTTAACCAATGGACTTCCAGGTGCAATTCAGAGTGCTAGTTTTCACCTATGAAACCCCCTCATCAAGCAGGATTGTGGCATTTGTGGGATTGCCTGTCTCCAATTATGTCTGCTTATTTCAGGGGATGGGCGTGCTCCAGATCCCCTCCATCAAGCAATGTCTTCTAATCAGACCCAGGAGGTGTGCCTTTTCTGTTAAAGCATCTGCCCTATGGAACGAACTGCCCCCTTAATTCAGATGGCCCCAACCTTAACTGGCCTTTTATAGAGCATTAAAGAGCAGACTGTTCACTGAGCTTTGGGTCTAGGAAATGGGTACGCCTGTTTAGCATAGTGGCTGTTTATTTGGGTTTTGCTTTCAAGTTGTTTTTTAATGGTTGTTATTGAATATTAGCCTCCCAAACTCACAAGTCAATTAGATGGCCATATAAATCTTATTAAATAAATAAAAATCACCATATATGGGAGATGGACACAAACTATGTGAACCTTATGTTCTGCCTTTAGAGTGGTATCCCATATGAATAGGATATACTGATAATAGTGGCAGCTATTTTAATATGAAATTCTACTCCTGACCTAACTGAGGAGCAGCTAAACATAGATGACAAAATAGTTTAACTTAGTACACCAAGAATTGCCAGACACGTGACTCTAGGGCTGGGTTACCATACTACACAAAACTATTGTTCCTTTTTTCTATAGTCTGTTGAATAAGCCACAATGGCTGAGTTCAGGCAACATGCTAATCCAAAAACAGCATATTATTACCACAATGTATGAATCCAGCTCTGATAGTGGATAATCTTCCATGCACAACTCATGCTAGTTATAGTGATGACTTGGACATGTGAGATAATGCCTGAGTCTAATTTCATTTAATTATGGCATTCAAAGTTGAAAACACAATTCTACATATTCTGTCCAGCCTTCCCCAATATCGTAATCTTCCTGATTTGTTGGGCTTCATCTCTCATAATCCCTAGTCAGCATAGACTGGTTGAGGAAGCTGTACTATTCAAGGTGCTGAATGCTCCAAACAACCTCAGAGTTATATTTAATTTGTTCATATTTAATGCACACTCTATACCATAGTAAAACACAACAAACAGATCACTGCCTTAGCATGTACTCTAAACAGAAGCTGCTATGGCTACAGCTCAAAGTTGTCTTGGTTAAAGATACAATGTTTTTGGAAGGTTATTTTAGTTGTGTAAGTCAAACTTTTTAAAATAGGTGAATTGTAGAGTTTTTGAAAAGAATTAGAAAACAGGCTGCTTTCAGCTAGCTTATATATTCTTTTAAATGGGTTACAGAATTGTCTATGTGTTTGAGACAGTTCATAAAATTAGGTCCCAATTCTCAAACTTACTTCCAAGGCAATTTCAGAGAGGGATGTTAACTGTGGAAAGTAACCTTCCAAGGAGAAAGAAGAATCAATAGTACTTCTGTGATTCTGCAAAACAAACACCAAATACAGTCCAAAATTGGTACATCTCCAAAGAATAAGGGGCTACTTATAACTGAAATGATAATAGCAAAGAAACATACTTAAACCTCGTTCACACACTGCACGAAGCCATAGGTTTCTAATTTTTGGCTTAGCATGAAGTAAAAGCCTAGCTGCTGTGGCTTGTAAATATGGGTTTATTGGAATATTAAATGAACCCTGACAATTGTGGTTTATTTAATGAAAATGATTAAGCAAACTATTACTTTAATATGTGCAATCCTGCTCTTAATTTCACTAGGAATGAGCATGTCACATAATGGTTGATAATGTTTTTATTGCTTTTATTATTTTTGCATTACCTGTTATCCTGACCTTATACTGTTCTTATTTTTGTTTTATTCTGTTATGGATTACCTTAAGGACAATTACCTTAAAGGGCTGTATATAAATGAATCTACTAATCTCATTATCAACTATTGCTGGTATTACATTATGATGAAATTACAAGATAGCCTATACACTCAGATCAAATTCAAAGAAGCTATGGCACAGGAGCCAATGAAAAAAATATATAGGGTGATACATAAATGGGCTGTCTTAAATTCAAGCCATTAAGGTCTCCCACCGCCTTTCCACACATCAGGGCTTAAAGATTTGGTCACAATCGCACTCATTCCCTCATATTTAAAAGTGCTACATGATAAGCATTTTTAGTAAGCAGCTCTGATCATCTGAATTTCCCCACCACTTTTGATGAGCATCCATATACTCAGCAGCCTACTACAGTACTGTTTTGCATTTAGGCTTATGGAAGAAATTTACACAAGCCATGCAGAAAATATAATACTATCACAGCTGTTAGCTATTACACAAATATATTAACCTATTCAGAGCCACTGGATAAACTGGCTGTAGATTATTAAATACACAGATCACTTGGCTTTCAGGAAGAGCAGAATGTGTTCCTAAAGCAAGTAAAGGATAGAGAAAAATGTGCTTGCCTTTTTAAATCAATTTATAACTACATGTAGTCCTTGCTTAACGATCACAATTGGGATCAGAATTTCCATCGCTAGATGATGCAATCATTAAGCAGATCATCATGTGACTGCATCACTTAGTGACCACAATCCCGGCACTCCTGGTTACCATTGTTAACTAAGAATTGGGGGTCATTAAGTGGAGGGAGTCCCAGGTAAGGAGCCCAGGGGTGCAATGGGGGGGGAGGCCCTGGGAGGCCTGGTACATGCCATGCACAAGTTGGGCTGCTGCAGTTCAGTGCAAAGCCATAGCCACCCCAGGAAGCCCCAGTCACCCCAGCCCAGCCCAGCAGCACTTACGACTGCAGGGGTGCTGCAACTCCCCCCATCTCTCTCCCATCTCTGCCCTTTTGGCCGCCTTGCACAGTGGCACTCAGCAGCAGTGCTGGGGCTGAAGTAGAGGCCCGGGGCCTTCAGCAGTCTCAGCTAGCTGCCACTACTGCCACCAAAAAATGCCACCTCAAGCCCCACGCTGCAGCAAGCCACCCCAGCACCATTGCGCAAAGCCCCAGTTGCCCCTGTTTTCCTCCTGCTGCCGATGAGGTGCACCTGGCCTGACCCTACTGAATGCGAGGCAGTTTCTGGCCACACCAGGCCTTCTTCTGGAGGCCACTCATGCTGTTCTCCAAGCCGCACGCCCCATTCCTTCTCCAAATTGTGTGGTCCATTCTTGCGATCCTTTGGAAACCTTCTGGTCTTCCTCAGGCCTTGTGAGAATAGGCACGCGGTTTGGAGAATGGCAGGAGCTCCATACTCATGGTGCTTCAGAAGACCTCATTCACCAAATCGTGTGCCCCATTCTCACAATCCTTCAGAAACCTGTTCTTCCCTTGGTCTCATGAGAACAGGCATGTGATTTGGAGAAGGAATGGCGTGAGCGGCTTGAAGAACGGCATTAGTGGCCTTAGGAAGAAGGCCTGGCAGCTGCGTTGCATACAGTAGGGCCAGGCCAGGCGTGCCTCATCAGCAGCAGGAAGAAAATGGTGAAGATAGCTAGGTGCAGCAGAGCCTGTGGAGGGAGGGTGGCAGGGGCAACTGGGGATTTGCACAATGGTGCTGGGGTGGCTGGCTGCAGTGTGGGGCTTGAGGTGGCATTCTCAGTGGCAGCGGCAATGTTGGGGCTGAAGTAGAGGCCTGGGATGGTGGTGGCAGCAGTGGCAGCTGGCTGTCACTGCTGAAG